CAGGATGGTCTCCATCTCCTGACCTCGTGATCCACCCGTCTCGGCCTCCCAAAGTGCTGGGATTACAGGCTTGAGCCACCGCGCCCGGCCTGTAATTGTTTTAATAAAATTAAACAATTTCTACAAGAGGATGGGGATTAAAATTGTTAATCTAGAGTTAACCAACATGAAGGTATTAAATAAACACATCCTGCATAGACTTAGTGGATACTGAATATAAAATTACTCTGTGAACGATCATGCTCTCTGGCATGTATTATTTCAATTACTCTCACAGAACACAAAAATTAGGAAAACAAAAAACAAGTATGGTCACTCCATCTACACACTTTTATCAAACCAATGACTCGGTAACTGACCTTATACTACCTCAGGCATTTAGCTTAGGTGAGAAGCTGAAGAAAAGACAGATATCTGGTTCTAAATCAAGTAATTTACGAGGTAATGAAAAATAATTTGCACATGTGCTCTTAGAATTATTTGATTTTCGATATTCTGAAAAGTCTATATCAAGTTGCTACTTTTTTATCTGACCACATTCCAACACAGAACACCTAACCAGATGACTGTTGTAGATAGAGACTTGAGCCACATAACAACACTTCTGTCAACAAGGGACTGCATATATGATGGTAGTGTGCCTGAGGCAGCACAAGAGAGCATGATAGTTCACAGAGCACTTTTTTTGGGGGGGGGAGGACAGAGTTTCGCTCTTGTTGCCCAGGCTGGAGTGCAATGACACGATCTCGGCTCACTGCAACCTCTGCCTCCCGGGTTCAAGCAATTCTGCATCAGGCTGAGTAGCTGGGATTACAGGTGTGCACCACCACACCCGGCTAATTTTTGTATTTTTAGTAGAGACAGGGTTCACCATGTTGGCCAGGCTGGTCTTGAACTCCTGACCCCAGGTGATCTGTCTGCCTCGGCCTCCCAAAGTGCTGGGATTACAGGTGCAAACCACCACGCGCAGCCACCACAGAGTACTTTTATATTTATTACCATTAATATTAATTATACACTTAATATTTTATTTCAATTGCATAGGGCTCTAAATAATTTGTTGACATGGGTCTAGTGACTTACTACCTTAAAGGGAGAACAGTGAGTCTGGTATTCACGGCCATTTCCCCCCTTGTATCCCATAAGATTATAATACCACATTTTTACCTTACCTTTGATATGTTTAGATACACAAATACTTACGATTGTGTTATAGTTGCCTGCAGAATGCAATAGAGTAACATGCTGTACAGGTTTGTAGCCTAAGAGTAACAGGCTGTGCCATATAGCCTAGGTGTGCAGTTGGCTATACATCCAAGTTTGTGAAAGCGTACTCTATGATGTTCACACAATGATGAAATCACCTAATGATGGATTTCTCAGAATGCATCCCCTTCATTAACACATGACTGTATATGTACTCTCCTTAGAACCATGTTTGCAATATCTATAGCTTGAGGTTGGAAAGTTCTCAGAGACTGAGGAGGTGGGATTTATTTTCACTGGTTACTCCAAGATGTCAAATCAGTTAGTCTATGTGTTCAAACATGAAGCTAGTTAACCTGAGCTTCACAGGAACTTAAGACAAACATAAGTCTGGGATACAGTACACAACAATTTAGCCATTGTTCACTTTTCCATTTCTCCTTCCGCAAGGGATGTACCAAATCCAATAATAAATAAACATTACCAATAATTTTAAAAAAATGTTTAACCCAAACCTGTTCTATTTTATGCTTTTATTTACTGTCTAATTGTGATCGCTTCTTCTCATATATACACTAATCTGGGAAAACTAGATCTCTTTTTTGTAACTAAATAGATAATACAGTTGGGGTAGGTAAAGCTGTTCCCTAGTGGTTCTCAATTTGCAAGCTCTAAACACAAAAGCAGACATGCTTGGTAACTCAAAGCATGGGGATTCAATATCATTGGTTTCAAAGTCTGTGGAATTCACAGACACGAGCATTCAGCCTAGGGAAGAGAAGGGAGATAATAATTTAAAAGATACTGGGAAAAGAAAACAGATGGTATAGAAGAGTGAATTACAACATTTTAAAATTTGGGGTCTCTGCTTCAGTTCTGGCAATCCTTGGTCTTAGAAGACTAAATAAATACCTACAAGAATAAACATCAAGGCTAAATGTGTCAGTTTTTAGTTGCTTTGGTTTATTTTTTTACCCCAAGTTTTAAAAGTTATGTAGCCCTTAGAAAGTTCAGCAGGTAGTTCTAGTCATTAAGTGATTTATACACAGCCAAATAGTAACATTTTCAACACTGGTATTAAAAATGAATAGGATTCATTTATAATTGTTAAGTTTAATAATTTGACTTCCTGAAAAGCTGATTCCCGCCCCAAAAAGAAAAACTAGATTAGTTCAAATAGAAAGCAATTTGTAGAAAGACTTTTCAAATGTAGGTGCTTCATTGATCAAGTGTAAATATAAAGTCCTTGAGTTTCTTTCCAGCTTTACGGTTTCATGGCTTTTAACATCCTTGTGGGAATGTGATGCCCTACCTATATGCAACCCCCAAACCATTCATGTAACAATCTCAGGTAAAATTCAGTATCATTCTCTATGGTTACCACCCATTCAGAAATCGGCATTCGACGCTGGGCACCTGTCCACAGTACCCCTGGCTGAAAGACTGATCCCTGAAGGGAGGGGCAGACATGAAAGGGCTATGGGCATCCAGATGTGACCGGTGGTGTGTGTACGCATTACCTCTCCCGCTCCTGCTCCAGCAGGTTGGTGAAGTCGTCGCTCTTGTTCATGTAGTCAGTGTGTTTATGCTTCTCGTTCTCTAACTCGTACACGGTGCGCCTGTGACACTTTTCGGCCAGCAACAGCTGCTCTAGCATGCGCCGGTAGGTTTCTTTCTGTTTTTCCTCAAGTCTGTCCAGCTGAATAAGCAAACATGGGAAAGAGCTTAATATTTTATTGCATTTGCATAGGACTCTAAACAATTTGTTGACATGGGTCTAGTGACTTATTACCTGAAAGCGAGAACAGTGAGTCTGGTATTCACTACTATTTCCCCCATTGTATCAGTTTCTTTATGCCAATTGGCTGTATAAACCAACTATAATAATGTTGCAGTAACTTCTGGCTTTCTGGCTTTCTTGTAAACATATATATGGTTCCTAAACTTTTTTCCCTTTTAAGGGCGGTGGGATATACCACAATTTTATCCATTCTACTGTTGATGACCATTTGGGTAGTTTCCAACTTGGGTCTATTACAAATAATGCTGTTCTGAATACTCTAATTCATGTCCTTTAGTGAACATATAGCATATGTGTCAGGTGTATACCCATGAGTGAAATATGGGTCATAGGATATGTGTATATGTAGCTTTATTAGATATACCTATGAGTGAAATATAGGTCATAGGATATGACCAAATATGGGTCATAGGATATGCCAAGCAATTTTCCAAAGAAGCTGTACCCATTTATGCTCCTACAACCAATGTTTAAGAGTTTTGATTGTTCTACATCCTTGTCAACACGTAGTATTTTTAAAACTTTTAGCCAGACGTGGTGGCTCATGCCTGTAATCCCAGCACTCGGGGAGGCTGAAGCAGGCAGATCACGAGGTCAGGAGTTCGAGACCAGCCTGACCAACATGGTGAAACCCCATCTCTACTAAAAATACAAAAATTAGTTTGATGTGGTGGCACGTGCCTGTAATCCCAGCTACTCAGGAGGCTGAGGCAGGAGAATCGCTTGATCCCTAGAGGCAGAAGTTGCAGTGAGCCAAGATCTCACCACTGCACTCCAGCCTGGGCAACAGATGGAGACTCTATCTCAAAAAATAACAACAACAAAAACCTTTTAACCATTTTGATGGGTGTGTGGTGTTCGCTCATTGTGATTTTAATGCTCACTTACCTGATAAAGTTCAAACACTTTTTCATTTGTTTATTGGTCATTTGGGTTCCTAAACTTGCAGGAGAACAACTCTTTCAGGGTTTTATGAGATAGCACAAAGCTCTATACTCAGAAAGAGGATAACACCCTTCCTAATAGAAAAATTAAGATCTCAGCATGTACATGCACCAGGCTTCTCCTCTGGAAAGTAATTTTCATCACAATCTGTTTTTAAAGCTTGCAGCTATCTGCATTTCTAGGAAAAGTATATGTAGGATCCAAAGTCCTCTGTTTTTCAAGAGATGCTAAATATAGGGAGGATTTCAGAACTTGTAGACAGTACATATCTCTAAAAGAGTTCTTACCAAATATTATTATAGGGGCCAGGCACAGTGGCTCATGCCTGTAATCCCAGCACTTTGGGGGGCTGAGGCGGGTGGACTGCTTGAGGTTAGGAGTTCGAGACCAGCCTGACCAACATGGTGAAACCCTGTCTCTACTAAAAATACAAAAATTAGCCGGACGTGGTGGCAGATGCCTGTAATCCCAGCTACTTGGGAGGCTGAGGCAGAAAAATCACTTGAACCCAGGAGGCGGAGGTTGTAATAAGCCAAGATCACACCACTGCACTCCAGCCAGGGCAACAAAGCAAGACTCCATCTCAAAAACCAAAACCAAAACAAAACAAAACCAAAAAAAGGCAAAACAACAACAACAACAACAACAACCACCACCACCCATAAATATTATTACTGGGTTTTGGGCCGGGCGCGGCGGCTCAGGCTGTAATCCCAGCACTTTGGGAGGCCGAGGTGGGCGGATCACAAGGTCAGGAGATCAAGAGCGAGACCATCCTAGCTAACACGGTGAAACCCCGTCTCTACTAAAAATACAAAAAATTAGCCGGGCATAGTGGCAGGCACCTGAAGTCCCAGCTACTTGGGAGGCTGAGGCAGGAGAATGGCGTGAACCCGGGAGGCGGAGCTTGCAGTGAGCGGAGATTGTGCCACTGCACTCCAGCAGGGGCAACAGAGCAAGACTCTGTCTCAAAAAAATAAATAAATAAATACAAAATAAAAAAGAAGTCTTTGTGCCTCTTTCTCTGGTCAGGTTATAAGATTTTTTTATTGTTTATTTATTTATTTATTTGAGACAAGTCTCACTCTGTTGCCCAGGATGGAGTGCAGTGGCATGACCTTGACCTCAGCTCATTGCAACCTCCACCTCCTGGGTTCAAGCGATTCTCCTGCCTCAGCCTCCTGAGTAGCTGGAATTACAGGGCACGTCACCATGCCCAGCTAATTTTTGTATTTTTAGTAGAGATGAGTTTTCATCAGGTTGGCCAGGCTGGTCTCTAACTCCTGACCTCAGGTGATCTGTCTGCCTTGGCCTCCCAAAGTGCTGGGATTATAGGCACGAGCCACCACACCCAGCCTGGCCAGGTTATATGATTTTAAAGAGATCATGCCTTGACCACCTTTTTAGACTCTGGTGCTGAGTACAGGCCCTGGTACAAAGTTGATGTTCGGTAAGTGTTTGTTAAATTGGACCAAATCTGACAATCTTGATATTTCCCTATGCTACTCACTATCCTATTCTTCCCTTTGAATTCTAGTTCAGTGTTCCACAACTTTGGCACTGCTGAGGCCAGATAAATCTTTATTTCAGGGTGCTGTGAGCTGGAGGATGTTTAGCAGCATCCCTGGCCTCTGTCCACTAGATGCCAGTAAGCACCACCTCCTGTGTGACAACTAAACTATCCTGACACTGCCAAATGTTCCCTGGAGGGAAAAATCCACCACCACCCCAATTGAGAACCAATTGTTCTAGTTGAAACAGACATATTTAAAATCAGTTCTCAATCTCACAACCAACTTCCGGAAACCCCATGGGGTAACTCCACAGGGTCTCAGCATTAGAGCTATTCCCCTTTAGTTTTCTGTTTACCCTTCAGTTATAAGGAGGATTAAGTTCTCTCTATAATTGCATGATGTGTTCATTGTGAGTGAGTCATTTCTGGGGCCCAAAATAAAAGAGAGACTGCTCGCATTATCTTTTTCCCAGATCTCCACTTCCCTTGTTTAGGAGTCAGTGACCAGATAGAGACTGGTGAAGAAGCCCATGTTAATGGGTGGCTGATATTATCTGAGATCATCAGGAATTGCTAATTGTATTTTTATATCTTCCAATAATTTTTTGTAGTCTTTTTTTTCTTTTCTTTTCTTTTTTTTTTTTTTTTGAGATGAAGTTTCGCTCTTGTTGCACAGGCTGGAGTACAGTGGTGCAATCTTGGCTCACTGCAACCTCTGCCTCCTGGGTTTAAGCAATTCTCCTGCCTCAGCCTCCTGAGTAGCTGGAATTACAGGTGCCCACCACCACACCCAGCTAGTTTTTGTGTTTTTAGTAGAGACAGGGTTTCACCATGTTGGCCAGGCTGGTCTTGAACTCCTGACCTCAGGTGATCCACCCACCTCTGCCTCCCAAAGTACTGGGATTACAGGCGTGAGCCACCACACCCAGTAAACTTTTGTAGTCTTAAAGAGACAGTCTATGCGTGAGGTTTTCCCATTAGAATAGCTCCATTCCCTATTACAAAATATTCTCCCCAAGAACTTTCCAAATTTCTACAAATGTGATTTTCAACATATTTTAGAGAACATGTCAAGCATTGCTGAAACATCATCATCATCAGAAATGTAGAAAAAGCAACTTTCCCCCCTTTTTGAGCCTTGCTGTTTTATCATAAAATAGGACTCCCCATCCTTTGGAAAGTATTTGAAGATCAGTATTTTCCCTCTTTCTTCAGGCCCTACCCAACTCCTCCCAAAGGAAGGAGGGGTGACTTATTTGAAAGTTGTATTTGGAATAGGGAACTGGATATGTGCAGCCCAGCCCTTTCGTTTCTTAGTTTTTACTCTGCCTGTCATACAATGATACACTGTGATCTGAAGGGTCAAACTCTTCTGCAGGATCTCTCAATCCATGTAAGGAATTCTTGAGGGGAAGGTGGGAGCATTGCTAATCAGATGTTTGACTGGGAAATGTAACGAGATAGTCATTACATGGACATCTGGAGAAAAAAACAGCACATGGAAATATCAAGTGTTCTGGGGCCCCCTAGGCAGAGGGTAGACCTTAGCCTTTTTACATCTATCCTTGTAGGCTTTTGAGACTGGTTGTTTGCGATAGCTACAGTTCTGGACTAAGCCACTGGAGTAGGTGGCTGAAGTCTTTGTGGGTAATGTTCACCTCACCAAACACTAGCACAGCTTGACCACAACAGTAATTACATTATCAGCAAAGCAGTCTTTTCATCTCTTAATGCATAAGTTACTGAGGCATTGGTGTATGTAGTGTGTTTTTTAGGCAGAGCTGCAGATCCAGACTTTAGAATGTAGAGGCTATAAATTCTTCTGCTATAAAGCATTAGTATGTGAGGTTTTAGGTGTCAATTTTAAGTTTTGGATGTAAGAATAACATAGGTAGCAAAAGATCAGCTGTACCAGATGCTGTTTCTTGTTATTTTGTTTGGAACTACATCAATCTCCTAAGAGAGAACAGAGGTAGTCTATTTTCTTGGCTCTATGTGGCTTGTCCAGAGACTCTGAAGATTCTGTAGATTCATTAATCATAGATACTATATGTACATGGCTTTTGGTTTCAGGATCCAAGCTGTGGCTCAGTATAGAGGAACGGGTTTTATTAAATGACTAGTGAAAGTAGAATGGGCACCTATTACTTTGGAAATGTAGATTCTACTTGGACGAGGTGGAAGGAAAATTGAATGAGAGAATCATAACACCAAATGCCAAAAATTTACTAAGGAAAGAGAGTACCTGGAAGTCTTATTCTAATGAATAAAGTTAGTGGAGAAGTACAATAACTTGAGGAGAAATTTCAGTATGTTTTAGACAAAAAGGCATGATTCAGGAAGTATTTTTAGCTCTGTTACCTGCAAAGGGCTAACTGGAGAAGTATTAAGGAATTGAGGAAAAGAGAAATCTACTTAAAAGCAAATATGAGGTCTTAAAGACCAAACTAGATTTACACAAAGCGGAAATGGATCTAAGTACTTCTAAAAATAGGGATATTAAAATGGAAGGTATTTCAGACATTGTTGAATCAGAATGCGTGCCCAGAGACGACAGAGACAGGAGAGCCCACAGGACAGAGCAGTGTGACTTTCCTCACAAAGAAAGCATTAGGATCCAGGAAGGGATTGAGGAGAACACTGTAAATGGACTGATAGTCTTTTGTGAGCTCAACTGGGGGCCCTTCCCTTAAAGATTGCAACATCTATTCAAAGTGGTTATATAAAATACGAATAGATTTAAGAATCGAAAACTGGGAAGATCAGGGTAAGATATCTGAAGCATTATTTGGTGAGTTTCAGTGTCTCAGCTGTTGTAGATGGAATTGCCAATGTTTATTTATTTATTTATTATTTATTTACTTTTTTTTTTTTGAGAAAGAGTCTCGCTCTCTCGCCCAGGCTGGAGTGCAGTGGCGCAATCTCGGCTCACTGCAACCGCCAAGGCCTCCCAGGTTCAAGCGATTCTTGTGCCTCAGCCTCCCGAGTACCTGGGATTATAGGTACCTGCCACCACGCCCGGCTAAGTTTTGTATTTTTAGTAGAGATGGGGTTTCATTGTGTTGGTGAGGCTGGTCTCGAACTCCTGACCTCAAATGATCTGCCTGCCTCGGCCTCCCAAAGTGCTGGGATTACAGGCATGAGACACCACGTCCACTGGAATCGCCAATATTACTGGGGCCTGAGTGAACATACTCAAGAAATGTTGGGATGTGGTGTTTGAAGGAAAGATGAGACAAAGAAAAGGGAATTTAGGCAGGACAACATTAGATAAGTTCACATGTGAGTGTGGTGTAATGGAAAAAGGCCCTTTAATGAAGATTATCCAACTCAAGAAGATGAAAATAGATAAGATTTAGGTTTAACAAAGAATACTCTTGGCAGACTCAGAATTCTTTGATTTCACATCTCTCATTGAGGGAGCCCACATAATGTAGAATATGGAAGGCAATATTAGAAAAACAAATGTCTGGGAGCACTTGAAGAAAATGACTAAAATGCTGAAGCAACAACTCAGCTGAGCCTTCCTACACAGAAAAGTTGTGGCAGAAGAAATATTTTTGTTGCCTTGAGTCAGACAAGTTACTCAAAGATTGAAAGTTCAAACATGAGGGGAGGCTAAGTTCTGAGGAAGAGTAAGGTCTGATCCCTTCTGGGCCTCAAATTACACAGGCTTCAGAAGGGTAACCCTCTAAAGCGATGGGCTTCCTAGGCCTGGCAACAGGGCCCGAAAAAAGAAAAAGACCAAAGAAGTTTAAATACTCAGATGGGAAAATTGAATACCTAAAATGAGACCTAGGCACTGAAGAGGTCACCACTGCAAATCCCTAGACTTTACAAAAAGACAGGAATGTTTTGAATGCCACTCACTGAGGCAAAGACAATACCTGCAGAGAGGCTCCACCCAATCTCGAGCTTGCCACTTCCCATAATTATTAAGCTGCTGATGACAACAGGCTCTGGTAAGAGCAGGCTTACCAGAACCCTGCTATGGCTGAAGATTTTCTCTATCTACCTTCCTTCCCTCAGACATGCCCTAAATCTCTGCTTTAGTCTCTGGTAGGAGTAACATGGACCTTCTTTATACTGAGTCCTAGGGTCAAGGAATATCATTTTGCTTGAGAAAAATGTATCTTAGTGCTAGAGACTCTCTTGTATTTTTTAAATTTATGAGTGTGAAGTTGTACTCTGATAATTGCATGTGTCCTAATAATTCTTTAGATTCTTCAGAAAAAAGTAGACTCTAGGGACTTCAGGATATCTTAATACAACTTTGAAAATGCCGGTGAGTCCAGGTTTTTTTACTAAAGGGGAAAACAAAAACAAACTCTACCCAGACAATCAATTGAGATCCCACTGGCTAAAGCTAAGCAGAATACAAAATTAGGAAGGAAAGAAACGAAAACCTTCAATGTTTTTGGAATTTTGCTTAAGAATTATGAACTCTGATATCCCAGACTTTAATTTACAAAGAAGGGCAGAGAAATTTAATATTTGCTGTTTAATTTTTCCCCAGATATTTGGCAAGGGAAAAAGGTCCACTGTATTGGGTTCATTGCTTAACTTCTCGTGAGTTCTACTGGATACCCCTGCTGGGCCTAATACGGTATGGAAATAAGAAAGAGCAGTGATTTTTGGCTTAAGATATAATATGGCTTCTAGGAAATAAGAGCTAGACTACCTGCTCATGATCCCAGGAGGCTAATGGAACAGTGATGTATCACAGTTCCTGCCTCGTGAATTTGGAAGCAGGATTCTGCTCCTAGGTAACAATAACTTGACTGTTAATTTCAAAGGGTTAACAGACCCAAAATTTGTAAGTGGTGGAAGGAAATCTTTTCTCCTTCTATCATTTTATTTCTCTCACAAAATGGACTTCATTTTGGCAGTATTAGGAGAAGTATTTTCTGCCCTCTCTCTCTGCCTTCTCACTCACTTCTCCCGAAAGGGGAAACGACTCTTCAGATTGTTAAGAGGAGAAAGGAACCATGAAATATGCCCAGCTTAGCCAGTTCCAGAAGGACAAGTCACAGGGTGAGTGTTTTCTGTTCTGATCCTCTGTCCCTGAGTTAGGAATATTTAGGTCAGGCCTACTTTCTAAAGGTAGGTCGGAAACTCCTCTCTCTGTGTTCAGCCCACAGAACCCAGTGGATTGGAGGCAGTAATCCTGGGTAAGTGTGTATTCTCTGCAGACCCACCTCTCCCTTGGTGGTGAGGGTGGGGAATGTCATCCCAAGCACTAGCCTTGGAAGAAAAGAATTCAGAAGCCCAAATGAGACCATTTATCCAAGCTGAGTTCTCTAATCCAAGTTGTTATTATTATTATTATTATCATATTAAATACATGTTTTTGACCTCTGTGTCTTTTACTCCTCAAATCTTCCCAAGTTTCAAACCAATTAAGGGTATGAGCAGTTATTCTTGAATCCCAGCAAATACTAATGACTAATACTTGTTAAGTACCTAGAATGTGCCAGAGACTATGTTAAGAGTTTTATAGGCATTGCTTTATTAAATCCTCACAGCAGTTCTGTGAGGTAGACACTGTGGTTCCTCACACCCCACAGTTGAGGAAACTGAGGCTTAAAGAGCTTACATAATCTGCCTATAGCCATACACAGCTAGCAGTGGTAGGTCTCAGACATGAAAGTAGATCCAGCCTGTTGACTGCATCCTATCGTATAATCATCTCTTAACTCTTTTGGAAAAGATGAGAATAGAGCTCCAGTTTATTCTTGCTGCAGAAATTTAAAAATTTTGGGACCATCAGTCTGTTGTGAATGCTGTCTAAAGCAGATCTTATCTCTGAGAGTTATCAAACTGAGCTGCTCCAAAGGCTTGACATAAATTACATGTTAAACGTATAGTAAGTTGTTTCAGACTTTTAATTTCTGTTCTCTTTTTGGTTCATGACACTAATTTCACATCTGTAAATTTTTTAATATAAAGTCTGAAGGGTCAATGTGAAAAACTTGTATCCTAATCTGGCTCGAACTTCTACTACAATGTGAGAGTATTTTTAAAATGTGGTATTATGAGTAATCAATAATAATAGTCATAGCCCTATTAGAATTCCTTTCATCTTAAAGAATTGCCCTAAGTATTTCATAAGGATTTTGCCTCAATCACTATATTTTGGCCACTCACATTAGACCATTTTAATTATGAAAGAGTTTATAAAATTCGAAAAAAGTGTCTTTATAACCATATCAGTGATAAGATCAATTTAATTTTAGGTTACCAATTTTGTAAGAATCATGACAGCTCAATGTTAAAACTGGTAAGCACTTCAAATTTTTACACTATCATTTCTTAGAGAAGTAAAATAATAATATACTGCAAGCGCATGTAACTATCAGAACCACATGGAAAAATATATTTCAGGCTTTGGTATGTTTAAAGAAAAGCTTCTACAATTCTTAACATTGAAGCTTATCCACTATAACCCTTGACTTATTTAATTACACTTTAATTTTATATTAGTGTATCATCAAAATTTTGCCTTTGAAAGAAAATGTTAAAGCATGTAAATGGAAGAATGTGAAGATATCTCCCTGAGGTTCCTTCCCTTCCAGGGGACTTCTTGGTGTCATATTTTTACCTCTGAAATCGGTTTTTCATAGACATCTTCTCCTATGGATTTCTCCTGGGCAAGAATGGCATCTCGGTGCAGGACCCGCAGCACTTTCTCTGGCTCCGCAGACCCGTAATGAGCCTCCAGAACCTCAGGTTTGGTTTTCTCCGTCTTCAGCATATGGATCACGTCTTCTCTGGCCTGTAATAGAAAGTGCAGCAAGATCAGACGATTGATAATGTAAATCACATACTGGGCTCAAAATATCAACAGAGAGCTTATTGAATACATCCCCATTTTGTCAGGGCTATTGGCAAATTCATTGGGTATTCTGTTCTTTTTTTTTTTTTTTTTTTTTTTAACCAAAAGCAGATTGGCAAGCAGATACTCTGCTTCAGGTTGCTAGGAAGCAGGCGAGCAGAAAAAAGGATTTGTGCTAATATTAACTACATAAAAATTGCTTTATCTAAGTAGCAATAATTCGGGATGGGGTGGTGGAGGGAGGCAAGCAGGGCTGGTCCTGGGAACTTAACCTGTTTCAGTGCACGCGAGGTCAATGACAGTCTAAAATCTTCTAGTTTTCTGTTGATGTTCTCAATGTAGTATTCAAATCTGGTTTAAAATAAAACCCTGCTGCCTCCATTCTAGTTATAACTTCATATGTCAATTAACAAACAGCCTTTATTGATGATTTCCTGTTTCTCATTAGGTGATTCATTTTGCACAGAAACACATGGTTGAGAACTCATATGATGCTTGGCTGTCCTTTTCAAATCTAATGTATCTAATGTATTCACAATAAAGGTGAAATTACACCCCTTTAACATCCAGACTGTCAGTTAGATGAGTCAGCTTGGTAGGTCAGTTTTGTTTGTCTATTTCTTAGCACAACGTATTACTGAAGCTTTAAAGAAAACCACGATTGTAGGCTTTATATCATACAGTCTGTGGTTCCTATCACATAATGCAAATACACCTGCTTATGTTTTGCACTAGTTAGTAGGGATGATCTTTCTACTTATGATGGAGCTGACATTTGCTGAATGTATTTCCATATAGGGACACACTTGGAGCTGTTTTTCCAGTAATGGTGATGGGTAAGAAGTGCCCTGACTTCATTCCAACTTGTACTAAAGAAAAATCTGGTTGGGAACAAAGTTTCAGCCTATGACAATGAAATAGAGTTTTCTCCTATATTGATGCTCACTGTGGGACTGAAATTATAAACCTGGTTCATTATTATGATATTCTAAAGAAGAGAGCTAACTAGTCAACTATGAGTGTTCACAATACGACCGTTATAAAGTTTGTCTTTCTCGAGGTTTCTCACTTTTGTTGCCTTTTCAGTCTCCAAATTAATCTAATTCCATATGGCTACAGAATAATTCACTACTGAGATGTCAATGAACTGGAATTTGCAGATTTGAAATGTTTCTGCCACATATACACATGCTCACTTCAAGACAAAAATGGAAAATATGAATTTTGAAGAACCTGGTGGTTTAGAATGTTAGTGAATGTTGAAGTCAGGAAATAGTTTAATGGAAAGGCAATGTGTCTCCATGCAGGTTGAAAGAAGATAAGCACAGATGCAGGGTCAAGTTAGCCTGTACACTGTGCTCATTAGAAAAAGGTGCCCACTTTATCTAGGAGACACAGCCCTGAGTCACAGCGCAGCTCACCTAGTGAGTGAAGAGCAGGCTGTCTTTTAGCCCTGTTCATCCTCTCTGCCAGGCACCATTGTGCAAGGCATAACTCCCAATCTATACTGAAGGAGCCTCAAGTTACGTAGACTGCTACTGGTCTTCAGGCAGAAAGTGCTCCTGTGTTCATCTGACATAGGTGAATATATAAAGCATGTTCTAAAGTAATGATTCACAATGCTGACTGTGCTGAAGTCATTTGAGGAACTCTAAAAAATCCCAAGGCCCAGGCCATTCCAGACCAATTACATTCTAATCTTTTGGGGAAGGACCTATATACATCAACGCTTTTTAAGGCTCCCAGGTGATTCCAGGGTTGAGAGTACTGTGCCACACTAATAGATTACGAGACATAGCAACTAAATTGAATACAAATCCTTGGCATCATCCAAAGTCAACTTGCTTACTTTGGTGCAAGTACATTTCCTTTTTCCGATCTTAAAAAGCTGTCATCACTTTTCTCCTTTAAATTATCCTCACACCCTAGGTCAGTTTTTTGCTTTGACCAAATCTGAAAGAGACGAACTCGTCTTTAAAGAAGAAACACCATACTGTGAATTTAGTGACTTATGTAATGACAGGAAAGGAAAATTTAGAATCACATTTAAAGTGAAAAAATGGCGATGATAGAAGGTTGGCAAGCTGGAAGTTCTTGATAACAAACTACTGTCTGTTTCTCATCTTTAAATCAGATGAAGTAAAGGTCATTTTCTAAAGTTCATTTTTCTAACATGTGAAATGTGAAGTCTTATAGGGCAGACATAGAATGTACTGTCCTTTGAAAAAATAAATAAATAAATACATAATTTTAATATAAAAAGTAAAATAGAATGTACTGTTGTTTATACTGTAAATTGAGATACTGATTAAAAATTTCTGAAATACTAAAAGAAAAGGGCTTAGAAGACAGGGTAGTAATATTAAGGGCTGGTTTTTTTTTGATGTTTATTTTGTTTTTCTGTTTTTTGCTTTTGTTTTTGTTTTTGAGACAGAGTCTCAGTCTGTCACCCAGACTGGAGTGCAGTGCCATGATCTTCGCTCACTGCAACCTCTCTCTGCCAGGTTCAAGTGATTCTCCTGCCTCAGCCTTCCGAGTAGCTGGGACTACAGAACGTGCCACCTTACCCGGCTAATTTTTGTATTTTTAACCTCTTCTTTTTGTTTTTACAGGTATGTATTTTCTAAATTTTCTACAGTAAATATGTAACTAGTTTTACAAAGAGAAACAAAGTAGTGCTTTCATAAAGAAAAAAGAAATACTTCATCATTCCTTATTCCCCATAAATAAAACAAAGGCAAATAATTTCATAGAAAGTTCTTTTTCATGCACCCAATGCTGAGAAAGCCACCTTCATTCTGGCTATAGACAGTCCTATGCACAGTACCTAGGATTTAACACAAAGGAGGACATAAAACAAAAATTGCTCAAGGATTGTTCTATACCCTCTTTTTGGCATTGTCTTGATTTCTTTCAGAATTATTTCAAACACACCAGTAAAGCCAGAGATAAAACAGCCACTGAGCTGGGTAGGTGTACTGAAAACAGCATAGTATAAGGATTATAGGTTTTCTCACCTAAAATTTATTATGATTTAGTCACATTCTAACTAGACAGCTGAAGGAATCACAGCAGAACTATTTCCATATGGTCTTTCCACAAATGACATTCTGAAAAAGTGTTTGTCCTTAGTTATGGATAAAGGTAATCAGAAAGTGGCTCTTAAATGTAAACTGTATCAAGTAATGTTGACAGCAACAATCTTACTGCTGGTTTGCCCAAGTTTACATAGCTCGAGCATAAAGAAAATTAAATAAATCTTAAAGCTATCAAGCAAGTATGAACTTTAATTAAAATATAGGAATAAAATTTGTATCATGATAGAATGAGTCCAGCTTTGAAGAGACTCAGAAATAGTTTCCAATCTCAGCTAAGGTGTGTGATTTGTGCAAGCAGTTAACATTACTTTGACCTAATTTATCATTTATGAAGTTGGATCATAATAACTTTCTTATATACTTGTTGTTAGATTAAAATCAGACATAAATATATAAGATGCCTAATATAAAACTTGGCATACAGTAGGTGCTGAGACAATAGTAATTATATACTATGGTTTCTGTTATGTCTCCATGATTAAATAACTTTTTGCTGCATGGGTAGAAAAGGAATTTTATAAGATACATTTTTCCCTAACCAAATATAACATGTAAAACTGATATTGTTAAAACTGTCTAGATATTTCACAATCTACTCTTAGGAATATTTTTTTCAAAAAGGAATTTCAAAATTAGAGCAGTCTCTCCAAAAGTTATTTAATCTCCCTGACTGTTTCCTTGTCTGTAAAGTGGGGACACAACCCCTATACATTATAGGGACTGTGTTAGGCTCTAACAAGATAATGCAAATAAAGTACTTTTAAAACTGTAAGCAGGTAGCTATTTCAGTTTAATCATTTAAGTTATTTAGTTTAAAAATATCCATATATTATTGGTATTGATCATCTTGACCCCAAACTTCCTAATTCTCTTAGAAGACAGTTTCTTGTGTTCCAACTGATATCAAACACCTATTACTTTCCTTCCCCGAAATACACTTTTGCTTGAACTGTATTAATTGTGATATGCTACATATACTATATATTTCTTCTTAGTTTAATTACCCTAGATACTAATTACTGAAGAGAAAGAGGTTATGGTGATATAATACAATGCATTTATTTACAACCACACTATTCACTATAAATTTACTAAAGCCTCTTTAATTGTATAGTAATAATCATGGAAAGAGGCTGGGTGTGGTGGCTCACACCTGTAATAAGAATAATAGTGATAATAATAAAATAGTAAATCAATAAAATTGTGGTATCTATTTAATCAATGTATTAATGAAGATGACTGTGTGATCACAAATTTATTTTACTATTTGAAACAAATGATTCAATTTATATTAAAAAAAGATTCTATATTTTGGGGAGAAAACTTTACATCTCCATTTCTGAGAAACTTGCTAATTTTTCTATAAAAGAATAAAGTTCAAAATGTAAGAAAGCTTCTGTTCTTGAGCATTAATATTTTCACATAGAAATTTATCCAAAACAATTTGTTAAAATCCTAGGATGTGGGGAAGCTGCAAAATAGACCACTATATTTAAATACATGTAAAATGACCCAGAGAAGAATGCTTTGAAGATGACTCTATGTTCAACTTATTTACTCCTGATGATAGAGAACAAATATGAGATTAGAGTAGAGAAACAGACACAGTTGTCACACCATTCTCTTCCATCAGACATAGTTCTTCTTTGTGCCAGTGGAAGTGTAGGGAGGCCAAGAACAAGGATGTTCCATAAATACCCCACAACTGAAACTGCACCAGGTGGAACAAGGGGTTTCTCAGTTGACTGGATAAGAAGCTGATTCAAAACATGTGGGGGCAGCAAAGAGCTGCTCTGTGAAGCCTAGGGCCCACAGGTGAGTGTGCAATTCATTGTATAAAGT